TTGACTAAAATTGTGTGAACTTTATGGCAGCCTAGTGTGAAATAATGTAATAAAACTTGTCGCATAATGGACAAATCAGAAATAATGTATGGATTGGTGTGATCGAATTCATTCCCAACCAAAGCCAACATCCCAAGCAACCCGGGTGGATGGTACTCGTTAGTCTCGGACGGCAACTCGTCTAAGAGAAGGCAAACTCTGAATTCAAACCAGGAGCCAGAATTTGCAATAAATTGATCGTGGGCCCTCAAATATCGAAGAAAAAATAGATATCTGATGTGGATAGATTGTAATTACTGAAATGAATCAGACCAATCGAAATAAACTATGGATATATTGCCAATTTTTCTATGCACTAATAAAAATAATTTAATTTTAAGCTGAGACTCCTATATTAGGAATGAATGCAATTTTTTTTTTAAAGTAGGGGTGGGTGGAAGAGAGAGATTATGTATCATGTTTATACAGATTGTACTGCAATATATCATTTCTTTTTAATTTCAAAAGTAAATTCAGCTAATTTTATTTTAAATATTAAAAAGCGAATTTACCAACACAAAAGTTGCTTTTAAAACAGTGGTTCTCAACCTTTCTAATGCCGCGACCCTTTGAAACAGTTTTTAATGTTGCGGCGACCCCCAACCACAAAAATATTTTCTTTGATAATATATAATTGTAGAATATATGTGTTTCAGATGGTCTTAGGCGACCCCTGTGAAAGGGTCACGCGACCCCCAAAAGGGTCGCAACCCACAGGTTGAGAACCGCTGTTTTTAAAGAAATCGCCCTTTTTTTTAACCCACACACCCCACCCCATTTCGGTTCGCCACTGAGTCAGTTGCTAACTTGCAAAGTATTGTTGTACTGTCTAAAATACGCCCTTTACCTGCGCCTTGTGGGGAGGGCGTGTCAAGAGAAGTAGTCTGTTTAAATAAATTCCGTTTATTTACAAACGCTTTTCATCATTTTGGCCCATTCACGAACCGGTCACAGTCTCTACCAATGCTGACGTCACAATGCAAACAAGCCGGCAATGGTAAGAATTTCTTTTAATCTTAGAGGTCATGTCTGAGGAGGTGGTATCAGGAAAAGTAATGCTGGAAGACTTAGTATCAGGAAAGGTAACGCTAGGAGAGTTAGTATCACGAAAGGTAATGCTGGGAGAGTTAGTATCAGGAAAGGTAACGCTAGGAGAGTTAGTATCAGGAAATGTAATGCTGGGAGAGATAGTATCGAGTAAGGCAATGTCAGGAGCGCTAATGTTCGGAGCCTTGGTATCCAAGGGTGGCGGCGTCAGCAGAGATGACGTTATGAGAGTAGGTGTGAGGAGAGTTAATGTCAGCACAGGTAATCTGAGGAGATATAATCTGAGAAAAGGTAACGTCAGGAGAGGTAATACGAGGAGATATAATCCGAGAAAAGGTAATGTCAGGAGAGGTAATCCGATGAGATATAATCCGAGAAAAGGTAATGTCAGAAGAGGTAAACTGAGGAGATATAATCCGAGAAAAGGTAATGTCAGGAGAGGTAATCCGAGGAGATATGATCCGAGAAAAGATAATGTCAGGAGACGTAAACCGAGGAGATATAATCCGAGAAAAGGTAATGTCAGGAGAGGTAATTCGAGGAGATATAATACGAGAAAAGGTAGTGTCAGGAGAGGTAATCGGCGGAGATATAATCCCAGAAAAAGTAATGCCGGGAGAGTAATTTGTCAGGACGGACATTGCAGCGTAACACATAGAACCCACTGCTCGGGGGACGTAGTTAGGTCAGACCTGAAATATGTATAAACGTACTATTTGTACTTGCCCGTGACCATGAGTATTTTGACGTGACCTTATGTTCTGGCACCTCACAAAATACCATAGAATATATAATAACAAAAGGATTGCTCTTGTACGCGTTCCAACATAATTATAGTAAGTGTAACCAATAAACCATAAAAAAGAATGTAACGTTACATATATTGTTATATATATATATATATATATATATATATATGTGTGTGTGTGTGTGTGTGTGTACAAATAATGCATACATCATATATTAATTAAACGATAAGGAGGGGGCTGGAGGGCATATACCATAAAAAAGAATGTAACTTTACATATATTGTTATATATATATATATATATATATATATATATGTGTGTGTGTGTGTGTGTGTGTACAAATAATGCATACATCATATATTAATTAAACGATAAGGAGGGGGCTGGAGGGCATAATTTTTCAGGGTTTGGTCCGGGCGCAGTTTTTTCTCTGCACATTCCTGGTTGTTAAGATATAGCCTCAGTTGATCCAACACGTAGATTTTTAGACTTTAACGTGATTTTTTTACATACATGCAATTCCAGTTTAGACAGTTAATTCCTCCATAGCCATTACAGATAAGCTCACTAATGTGAATGTTAAGATCACTAGAGATGTTTTTCTTGTGGATCAGCAGCTTTCTGGGAATGTTCAATGATAAGAAATTTTAAAAAGCCAACTAGTCTGTCTAATGACGAGCAATTAAACAAACCAACTAGTCTGTCCGCGTCAGTCAGATCAAATACGTTGAGCCGAATCAATTAAACTGGTATTTACCAGCCAATTAAAACAGTCTGCGTTAAAACACTTAGTCTGGTGTTTGTTAATTAAGCCAGTGTTCACAGAATGAACAAATTAGCGTTGGGCTTAACACAGCAAAATGTATTTATAGTATAATTTTTTTTTAACACAACGTTGTATTCAGTATTGGTGACCTTTGACTGTGACATTAAAAACATGACCGCTCTAACGGTCCGTGCAAGGAGACGGACACGCCAATGATCGGCCCCGAGGGGATGAAAGGATGCGGTGGAGCATGCCAGAGCCATTCACAGCCTTTGGTGCCACTGATGATGATGACTCCACGTATCTGACTGCAAACAAAACCTTATTCTTAAAAATTATTATGAAGTCAATTTTTATTTTTCATTTGAGAGACAAATCTTTTAAAAAATTAAAAACTATAGCGTCACTAATTATAATTAGTCGAACACTATACGAATTTTTTTTTACATGTTGTGTCTAAAGTAGAAATGACGTGTTCTTATTCGACTCCAGGTAAAACATTCTACTACGACTTTTTCTACTTCAACTGCGTAACGCCGGGTAATCAACCTTAACAAAAAATGTCAGATCCTTGTCTCAGTACAGGATACCGGCGTCGACCATCAGATGCGCCCATAACAAGAATGGTACTGACTCATTTATTAGAAAATATGTATTCAATATTTACATCCGTGAATCTGCTGAAACCATTGCCGTGAATTGTCCACTAAATTCCCCATTCTCCGGCCTGGTCTCGCACTTACCATCTCGTGTCGACGCAGTCTAAAATTAATTTCACAGCCAAATTTTTTTAATTCTTTTTTTTTTTTAAAACCCATTCCCTGATCTCACAGGCGGAACAAAGGGTAGGGGAATGGGGTGCTACTCGGTAAATTAAAAAAATAAAAAAAAAAAAAAAAAAAAAAAGTAGGTCACTTTTTAGCACATACCTTCGTTCCCTATCAAGATGCTGACAGCGCCATCTAGTGCCTTTATACTATTCCATTATTATGTCATCCGTGGGTTCAAGCAGGAAGATCGGGGGGGGGGAGATCGGATTGGGAGGGGGACGGGGTATTGAGCGGTGATACCCCCAGCTGTAGCCGTGTTTAAACAAGACGGAACACTGTGATCACCGAGTCCACACCGGTAGGCGGTTTGCAGTCGGAATATGAAATTCCCACCTAGGTAACTTGGCGATAGGTTTTCTTAAGTTTTTTGGATGACTCAATTTTTGGATCGAGTGTTTAGGAGTACACACACACACACACAAAGAAGGAGTAGTTATTGAACGGGATTTAATGCAGGGACAATCTGTTCAGGGTGAGCTTTCCGTGTGGTGTGTTAATGTTTTGAGTATGCTGCACATGAACTCTTCAAAATACTACTTGCCTGTTGTGTTGTTGTTTTTGTTGTCATTGACGACCGGCCCGGTGAGGAGCCAGAAGTTAGTAACTTCTAGGAAAATAGTTTAGGAGCCGAAAGCAAGGGTGGATTTCTTAGACGTCATTTAAGATTATTCCAAGTTGAGAGCCGCATCTCTACCATCAAAGAGCCGTATGCGGCTCCGGAGCCGCTGTGCTAGCCGAATTAAATATTTATAAAATGTTTCTTTTTTTCTATTTGTCCTAAAATTGTATATATAATTAACTTTTGATGAATAGCCCAGTTGGAAAATGAATTGATGAATCTTAATAATGCCTCAAGGGAGTGAACTCACACACACATCATATAAAGAGAGTTATAAATAAACACCCAAAGTGAATCTCGGGTGTTGTTGTTTTTGTTTTTTTTGTGGTCACCTTAGCACCCCCCGCCAATAGTTACGCCACTGGGGTTATGGCATACTCCAACTTTCAATGTATACGTTCTTTAGAGAACTAGTTCTGCAAACAAAAACCAGCACTACAACGAGCACCCTAAATTGGCAAATACTTTCGTTCAACAAATATACTATTTTAATGTTGTGACCTATTCCTGTACTTTTTTATTTCACTATCAAATGGTTGGTCTCTTAAATGAACTCAGGAGTTTCAGGACGACCAACAACCAACCTCCACCAACCTCCACCCATCTCCACCCACCTCCACCCACCTCCACCAACCTCCTCACCCCGAAATCCTACTGTTGATCCGTAGGTCGTTTTCAGTCCTCATTTCCTCAACATAATTCCTCATCATCTCTTAAACTAACTTTGATAATCGCTTTTCCCCCCACCGAGCCATTTCTTTATTACAGAGGCCAACAATTAAAGCTGTTGAAATTTATAAAAATAAAAAAAATTGACAGTAATTTTGCTTCCAATTCTGAAAATAAGTGTTGATTTTTTTTCACGCCTTCACATATGTTGAAATGTTTTCAAATGATCACCAATCTGCCTTTTTTTTTTAAAGTGAAACTCTAAAAATGACGAATGGGATCAAAATTATGCCATCGTGACAATAAATTTTGAGGACCACTTCATGTGAGATCACTTCCTCCGTACACGTCACTAACGTCTTTTGCTAAAATAATCTCAAATAATCATTCTCTAGGTACGTATTAAATAGACGTAACACCGTGTTTAACATTTCCATAAGTTAGCATGCATTGAGATTAACATGGAAAGTGCGTTACTTGAATACATATTTTGTCAAGTAACTTAAACATATAAGAAGTTCACGCACAATTCAAAGACAATTTTAGCGATTTGCAATAACTATTTACCTATCCTTTTCGTTATTTTTTTACACCTGTTTAAATCTTCTGACGCTGCCAACAAGCATGATGTAATTTAGACCCCCTTAACAAAAATGTTTGTGCAATTGTCATTGTGTTTCTTCCTGTTGTATAAATGTATGAGACAAAGACAAGTACACAAATTTAACCGCTTTTGAAAATATTTATTTCTTTTTTGGTATTATCCAGGACTGGATGACATCATCTCCAAGGGGACAACTTTCCAACCGAAGCGATTCAACAGTATTACAACCTTGACCTCACTCGTCTGCTCAAATCTTAAATAATAATTTATAGCGGCCAGCGTCACACAATGAGGCTGACCACACGGATAGTGTTACTTGTATCAGTATTAGTTTCCACATGCCCCTACGCCCAGGGCGCGTTGGCCACCACCCAACCAGAGTATGCCAGGGGCATCGACGACCTCAGACTGGTTTTGGGCCCCAACTACAAACTCTTCGTTGCTGCCTATTGGCGGTACCTGATCAACGATTGTTCATATGTTAGCTACAAGCTATCAGACGACCTCGTCGGAGGATATTTGGATAAATGTAAGTAGGGAATGACGTCATGCAATTGTCAACATTGAAAGAGTGGCGTGATCATTATTTGAATGGCATCGTTCATTAAAATCAGGAGTTCCTAAGTTCCAGTTAGTGGAAAGTTGTTTGAGACTTAGTTTGTACGAAAATAATTTGTAGGACTTTGGTTAATTTAAAAGAAGAATCACAATGCAAAATGTTGTTTAAAGGTCGGCAGGTATGGTGTAGGACTGTCTGTAGGCCTATTGTTTAATGGCTGGAAGGTAAGGTTTAGGACTGTCTCTATGTCTATTGTTTAAAGGCCGGCAGGTAAGATGTAGGACTGTTTATAAAAAAGAAGATAGAAGATAACTCTTTTTTTTTTATAACCCTTGAACCCACCGGGTATTTTCTCAAAAAAGAAAACTGCACCCGGTTAAGCCCTCGTATATAATATTTAGCCGACTGGAATAAGCTTTTTAACTGTAAGGGAAGATTCTTTTTCTGACATTATTTTATCCAGCGCCCTGAATTTCTGTGAATAGAAACAAGTATAAAGTAGTGCGAAACATGTTGGACCTGATTGCAAAGAGAACGAAACATTTGCTTTGCTGTAAAGACCCCAGACGTTTGACAATTTATGCAATATTTAGCTTCAAAATCACTTTCAGTTCCGAACAAGTGGTAACAACCCCACCCCCAACCCCGCAAACCGCTTACGATACCAGTAACGCTATGCGTTAATCCGACCCCGTCCCTAAACACCGGTACACTATTAAAGCAAGCACACCAGCCTGTTCCAAAATGTACGACAAAAAGATGCTTTTATAGTGACTACACAGCGAAGCTATGGTCACTCTTGTGGCCGCAGATGGGAAGATGTCTTAATCGGTATTGCGTTTTATCTAAATACATTAAAAGAATGTAAAAAAAAATTATTCTAATTGAATTGTGCCTTTATAAAAATAGTGCTTTTTTGTTTTGTTTTTTTACGTTCACGTCAAATTAAGGAAAACAATTAACAGATATCGGCTGTTTTATTTACCATCAACTGAGTGCTTATATTCATATATATTTTTTCTTTGTTAACTTTTTAAAAAATTACTTGAAATGTTGCGTATGTTCTTAAAACTAGATCATATTTTGGAAATTTGTTTATTTTTAAAAATAAGTCTCTGGAAGAACGTCTAAACTCCACATCTCTTGATAATCACAATGACGGGGCTGTTTGGTAGCCAATCACAGCATTTTTTTATATGGAGTTTCTGGGACCAAGCTTAAAAAAACATCAGGATTTTTCGATGATAACTGTATGGTAACCAAGCAGCTGCTGGGGGGAAAACACCATCTTCACAAATCCTATCTTAAACCGAATTCAATTCCTAGGAAAGCTGCATACAACAATTACGTCGAATGCAAGATAAAAAGTTGAGTGACAGAACTTATATGATTCAGGGATATGTTGAAGGACACAATCTGAGAAATTTCTACCCCACTCTTCAAGAAGTCTTCGGTCCCACCTTATCAGGATCATCCCTAAAGCTGGGCAGAGCAATCTGAGAGCATCTTTAATCGCCATACATCTGTCAATGACGAAGCCATAAATCGACTCCCACAGGTGCCCATCAACCAAGAAATGGAAGACACCCACCAACTCTAAATGATACGCAATAAGCTATGTGCCTTCTCTCGAGTGGCAAAGCTCCAGGTGATGAATTCATGCAATCTGAAATTTACGAGTAAGGTGGAACAGCTCTGACTCAAAGGCTTCATCGGCTCTTCATTCTAATGTGGCAGCGAGAGATGATACAACACGATTTTAAGGAAGCATGCGTTGTCCACTCGAACAAACTTGTACAAACGTGAAGGGAACCGTCAATCCTGTGAAAACTCCAGTGGCATATCTTTGCTCTCAACTGCAGGCAAGATACTAGCTAGAATGCTCCTGAACCATCTAAATTCACATATCGGGAAGGGTCTACTGCAACAACGTCAATATGCGGTTTTCGCAAAGATCTCGGATCTATCCATTAGGTGTGCGCTGCCAGATAGCGGTTGGAAGAGTGTCATGAACAAAATGTAGAACTCTTCTCTACCTATGTTGACTCAACCAAAGCTTGCGACACTGTCAGCAGAGAAAGTCTCTGAAAAATCATAGGCAAATATGGATGCCCCCAAAAACTCATTCATTGGAGTGGCAAGTTCATCATAGTATGCACGCTAGGGCCCGGGAAAAATTAGAGATGCCTCAACCATTTCATGTGTCTAATGGTGTCAAACAATGTTGCGTTCTGGCACGCTTTCTGCCATGCTGTTTGATACTTTCAGTGAGGGAGTCATTGGCATCGACATCAGATACAGAAAGAATTGTACAGCTTTTAACCGCAGAAGTCTAAACGCTAGATCCAGTGTCCGGACAGACATCATCAGGGACTTCCTGTATGCTGGTGACTGTGCCGTTAACGCTGAAGGAGAAACCGATATGCAACGGGGTGTTGCAAACTTCTCGTATGCCTGCACAAACTTTGGTCTTACCATTAACAAAAAGAAGACTAAGGTACAAACCAGCTCGACGAAAACCTTCTAATTCTAAACTTTTAGGTTCCTACTAGCTAATGTGTGACTACTTTTAGGTTCTTGTTAGCTAATGTGCCACTACTTTAGGTTTCTACTAACTAATGTGTCACTACTTTTACGTCCCCAATAGCTAATGTTCTTCTACTTTTAGGTTCTTGTTAGCTAATGTGCCACTACTTTTACGATTCTTCTAGCTAATTTTCCGCTACTTCTAGGATCCTACTAGCTAATGTGCCACTACTTTTACGATTCTTCTAGCTAATGTGCCTCTACTTTTACGATTCTTCTAGCTATTGTGCCGCTCCTTTAAGTTCCTACTAGCTAATGTGCCGCCACTTTTAGGTTCTTACTACCTCATGTGCCGCCATTTTTAGGTACCAACTACATAATATGCCACCTAACCTCAGTCGATCTCGTAATTGTTCAATATACTCGCGAGCTTCCCCCCCCCCTCTGCCTGTTTAGACTTTCCTGAAAAAAGTGTTCCCAGGGATATTTATGGGCCTCATATATTTCGCCTAAATCAAAAGCTGCAAAACCTGTTAGTTCATTTTTAATATCCCGATAGGCAAATAAGATACCTGGAACGTGAGATTCCCAGGCCTTGGGATGATCGTGAGTAAGGCCTTGAGAGTACCGTAGAATCGCTAAACCATAGCATTGATTTGTGTGTGTAAAGGGGGTGCTAAATCGTTGGGGTTTTGCCCATGAGTTTGGTGACTTGGGTCATTAGACAGCATTTAAACCGGCTGCCGTTGTCTTATGGAATTTCATCTAGTAACCACACTAGAAAATATTATTAGTAGTTCCTCTTGTATGACTTCGGCAGTTATTCTTTTCAGGTTTATGACTTCTGTCACGGTGTCCATGAGGGTCAGGATAGATCGATATCCCATTTTGGATGATTGCTTTATGGGGCCCACTAGTTCAATGGCCAGCTTTCCCCAAGATTTGTTGATTAACTCCATTTTTCCCCAAGATTTGTTGATTAACTCCATTTTTCTCCAAGATTTGTTGATTAACTCCATTTTTCTCCAAGATTTGTTGATTAACTCCATTTTTCCCCAAGATTTGTTGATTAACTCCATTTTCCCCAAGATTCGTTGATTAACTCCATTTTTCCCCAAGATTTGTTGATTAACTCCATTTTCCCCCAAGATTTGTTGATTAACTCCATTTTTCCCCATGGTGTAGTGAATAAATCCGGCGATTTGGTTCCCCCCCCATTTGACACACATCGCACTTCTTACAATAATATCTGACACCCATCGCTGCGCCAGGGCCACCAACATTCTTCCAGAGCTCTTGCCTGTGCACGAGCTACACCCATGTGTAGTGAGACTCCATGATCATGGGCTATTCCCAGCACCATTTTTCTTACATATTAGGGAACAGCTAATTGTTCTGTCCGCTGCTACTGTCACAACTCTCTTTCATTAACAGTTCATCTTTGTACCTAACTTGTGATGGTCTAATTTGTCTCCTCGCGTGCTCGAACGTAACGTTTGAGTATCAAATCATTTTGCTGTAGCGTTCTAAACTTATCCTCCGTTGCCTCTAGTTTGGTTACGTTCTTAGTACCGTTATTATTATTGGTCTAAAATGTCTGCCCCGATGGTGTTGCTCTAAAATGTCTGCCCCGATGGTGTTGCTCTAAAATGTCTGCCCCGATGGTATTGCTCTAAAATGTCTGCCCCGATGGTGTTGCTCTAAAATGTCTGCCCCGATTGTATTGCTCTAAAATGTCTGCCCCGATTGTATTGCTCTAAAATGTCTGCCCCGAGTGTATTGCTCTAAAATGTCTGCCCCGATTGTATTGCTCTAAAATGTCTGCTCCGACGGTATTCTGTAAATTTCTGTAATCCTCGGTGTCGTGTCCTGTTAAGCGGCACAAATTTGGGTGACCGCTTTCCCACTCTGGTTTAGCGGTGAAACTTTTGCCTTTGTTTTTGTGACTGTCCTTTACCGTTGAAAGCTAACATGGCACCTGTTGGTCCATGCGTGTCAGATACCTGTTGGTCCATGCGTATCAGACACGTGTTGGTCCATGCGTGTCAGACACCTGTTGGTCCATGCGTGTCAGACACCTGTTGGTCCATGCGTGTCAGATACCTGTTGGTCCATGCGTATCAGACACGTGTTGGTCCATGCGTGTCAGACACCTGTTGGTCCATGCGTGTCAGACACCTGATGGTCCATGCCTGTCAGACACCTGTTGGTCCATGCGTGTCAGACACCTGTTGGTCCATGCGTGTCAGACACCTGTTGGTCCGTGCTTGTAAGACAACCGTTGGTCCGTGCGAGGAAGACACCCCGTGGTTGTAAGACACCTTTTGGTCTTCCTGTGAGGGCTTTAGCTGGATGTGCTGCCATGTAAATGTCTCCAGTCGCTAATACGGGATCAACGGTCATGTTGTGTGTTTCTGAAATATGCTCGACTATGTCTTGATTCACCGTTTGTAGTAGTTTGTTTAACTACTGTTAGTGCGAAAAAATTTTCATAAGTCTTCTCCGACTTGGATAATTGAATCCATCTGGCTAGGTAATGGCTGATACTGTTCGTGTATGTCATTGGGCCGTCGTGTTTACCCGGTGTAGTCTTGGCCAGTTTATCTCTATAACTCTGAGCTGTAAATCTGAAGTCGTATTGTTCTCTCGTCTCGTCATATTGTTCGCTGGCCCTGTCATAATGTTCTCTCGTCCTGTCATATTGTTCTCTGGCCCTGTCATATTGTTCTCTCGGCCTGTCAGATTGTTCTCTGGCCCTGTCATATCGCTCTCTGGCACTGTCATATTGTTCTCTCGGCCTGTCAGATTGTTCTCTGGCCCTGTCATATCGCTCTCTGGCACTGTCATATTGTTCTCTCGGCCTGTCAGATTGTTCTCTGGCCCTGTCATAATGCTCTCTCGCCCTGTCATATTGTTTTCTGGCCGCGTCATCTTACTCCTTTTCCTCTGTCTATCTACGTCATTTTCATCTCATGTTCTTGAATCCTTTTTTTTCTTCTTCATCTCGCTCATATACGCAAACGGCTCTTTTGTGGTCGCGGATGGCGCGCACTTCGTTCTCGATTCTTCCTAAATTTCTTATCCATGTTTTTGCTTCCACACCTTCCAATCCAAAATCTATCTGATTTTTTAAAAATAGTGTTGCAATAGTTGGTAAAGACATTGTTTCATATATTTTTTTTTAAATTACAAATAAAAAGTGGAGCATGGTTGCAATACAAATAGGTATACAGTGAGTAAGTATGTTTCTAATTTAAGGTTACTTCACAAGTTATAGAGGCTTAATTACCAGAAATGCACAATAAAACAAAGAATAGGAATTAAAGGAGTAAAATAATTTACTTACAATAATTATTTATTACCATTTGACTTGGGACGGTTCTCCGTTTACTTCAGATGCCTCATGGGGGTCAATGGGATTAAGATTAGTTGTGTTTTTTTTCACTAACATTTATTTGTCTGTAAGCCGGGGTCATTTAGGTAGGCCGAGTTCATTTCAGTACACCGAGGTCGTTTCGGTAGACCGAGTCCATTTCAATATACCGAGGTCATTTCGATAGGCCGAGTTCATTTCAGTATACCGAGGTCGTTTCGGTAGGCTGAGGTCATTTCGGTAGGCCGAGTTCATTTCAGTACACCGAGGTCATTTCGGTAGGCCGACTTCATTTCAATATGCAAACCCCCCCCCCCCCCCCAAAAAAAAAATTGTTTAACAGAGGTGTTCAGCTGCTCGGGTCAAAACCAGGAGTGTTTAAATATCTTGGCAGCCTTTCCACCGAGGCTGCTAAAAGGAGTACATAGACAATGACAAGAGTTCAGTGGGAGAATGAGGTCAGCGTCCACATCGCCCCGCTTCTAAGACACCCACGAATAGAGATGGAGACCAAAGCCAGGGTAATCAACGCTAGCTTTATCTCAAACTTTACCTACCAGTGTCGTACCTCGTCTCTGAATACAAGTCTATAGTAAAATATTCACCTGCGAGATACCGACGGCCGTTAAATAAAACAGCAACACATTATACAATGACAAGAATTCGCAGCAAACGGTAGATTGTAGCCGAAAAGCGTTCCGTATCGGTAACAACTCGCAGAAGATGAAATGTTTGTAACAACTCACAGAAGATGAAATGTTTGTAACAACTCACAGAAGATCAAATATTTGTAACAACTCACAGAAGATCAAATATTTGTAAAAACTAACAGAAGATGAAATATTTGTAACAACTCACAGAAGATGAAATATTTGTAACAACTCACAGAAGATGAAATATTTGTAACAACTCACAGAAGATCAAGTATTTGTAACAACTCACAGAAGATCAAATATTTGTAACAACTCACAGAAGATCAAATATTTGTGTTCCATCAATTCAAAAACATTAAAGATGACTTGAGACATTTTTTCTATCCCGTAGTTAGCTGTTGTCTTTATTATTTAGCTGTTGTCTTTATTATGGTCTATCACTTACTCAATTTAATGGAGATACTATGCACACACAACAACATATTTTGTAAAGTCAATCTGTTTAAGTACCCAACCACCCCACCCCCACTTTTTTTTTCGTTGTGAAGCAAGGCTATATCCTAACAATCCTAAACTTTTCACGCGAGGTAACTAAATAAATTTATTATTTAAACATGATTTTCTTTTCACTAACGATCTCACCTAGACAGGTGGTGCAACCAACTTTCTGTTAAAACTTTGTAAAAAATTGTGTTATGATTTCAATTTAAATTTCCACAGACTGCTTGTATTTGACCCAATGCCCAGTGATTTATGAGACTCAGTCTTGCCTTATCAAAATATCCGTCATGTACGTACGGCTTGCTTGTTGCCCAGGTAACTATTTGGACACAGGTTTGGTGATCTTAACATACGTTTCTTAGTTTGCGTTTACAACAATTTCACCTACCGATGATTTTGTGCAACAATCAGTTCAGGCCATACAATCTTCATTAAACGTGTATTCTTAGTCACCCCAGCGATGAATATTGCAAATGGTATTTAAAGCAATTAATATTAATCATTAAAAAATGTAAGGACCAACACACCCCAACTTGGAGCTTAACACACAAATGTAACGACAATATTTGACTTACACAAAGGACAGTATGGCTTGAGTTACATCAGTTAGAGTTTCTTTCATTGTTGCATTTCATAGAATAGTTTATTTGCTTGTGTTTGTCTTACGGTTAAATAATTTTTTCACCCAAGCCCCTCAAGAGAATGACTCGGGAAAACTTTGGCCACCCCAGTTTTCGGTTGACAAGTTTCTTACGTGACACCACCAGAGTCATTTCATTCTGACAAGAATCATATTTGTTTTCAGAACCTTTTGAAATCCCAACAATACCACCGACAACACCACCAGAGTCATTTCATTCTGACAAGAATCATATTTGTTTTCAGAACCTTTTGAAATCCCAACAATACCACCGACAACACCACCAGTGACCACAAGAGCTGACCAAGACAAAGGACGTAAGAATTTTTTTCTTCTTTTTTTTTTTTTTCTCCCCTTGATAAAAAAAAAATGTGCAGTTTCTAGCAGGAGTGCGATAAATAGCATTATAATTGATAGATCATTGGATCAGTTGCTGACATCATTCATAAAAAACTATACATTACAATGTGGTAAAAATTTTGTAACGAAACAAAAGTTTTTATGGGCAATGATGTTCGATTTTTTTACACAGCCTTGTTAGAGAGAAATGTAAATATTAAGTCATTATAATCTTTTTTTTTTTTTTAAAGTTCAAAATGAAATTTAAATTTGATAAGAAAACGAAATAAGAAAACAAATATTTATTTGGTTATTTTGTTCACCACTTTTATCTTAAACGTTCATATCTAGTTGTCCTGTTTTTCAATTCAAGCTTCCAAGGACCTTGTTCTGGTTTTTATTTTCGAAACAATGGGTTGTTTTTTAAAAGCAGTAAATAATGAATAAATTAGGCCAACTTTTTTATTTCAAAGTATGACTTTAATAACGCATTTGCTTTGTTTATTTAATTTTCAAAATAATGTTGCTTCTATCGAAGTGAAATGATGGCATCCATTGTAGAGCGTCGTAGCCCAGCTATGTGCAACATACGATTATATAGAGGGTATTCCGCTCTATCATCATAACGGGTAATGTCTCCTTGGAGATAAACCATGGAAATTTTGTCGAAAATATAAACGATCAAGTTTCGGTCATGTTAAGTTTAAATTAAGGTGGTTTTTTTTTAAAATATTCTAGCCCCCCTTCCCCATTTTATTTTTCCTACTTTTGTTAATAACCATTAACGTCACATATAAATTGATATATACTTTTACCTCTTTCTCTGGTTACCTTTTTCAACACGGGCACGCCCCAACACGGGCACGCCCCAAAGCGGGCGCGCCTCCCAGTTAGGAAACACCATCGGCTTAAGTTTGTAGCAATGACGATGTGATAACTCCAATAACTTTCTAATGCACGCTGAGACTTGCCTCTGTTTTCACACATTAGAAACGTCTTCATTTATCACGCCTTCATTTATCACGCCTTCATTTGTCACGCCTTCATTTGTCACGCCTTCATTTATCACGCCTTCATTTATCACGCCTTCATTTATCACGCCTTCATTTATCACGCCTTCATTTATCACGCCTTCATTTATCACGCCTTCATTTATCACGCCTTCATTTATCACGCCTTCATTTGTCACGCCTTCATTTATCACGCCTCCATTTGTCACGCCTTCATTTATCACGCCTCCATTTATCACGCCTTCATTTATCACGCCTTCATTTATCACGCCTTCATTTATCACGCCTTCATTTGTCACGCCTTCATTTATCACGCCTTCATTTATCACGCCTTCATTTATCACGCCTTCATTTGTCACGCCTTCATTTGTCACGCCTTCATTTGTCACGCCTTCATTTATCACGCCTTCATTTATCACGCCTTCATTTATCACGCTTTCATTTATCACGTCTTCATTTATCACGCCTTCATTTGTCACGCCTTCATTTGTCACGCCTTCATTTGTCACGCCTTCATTTATCACGCCTCCATTTGTCACGCCTTCATTTATCACGCCTTCATTTATCACGCCTTCATTTGTCACGCCTTCATTTATCACGCCTTCATTTATCACGCCTTCATTTATCACGCCTTCATTTATCACGCCTTCATTTATCACGCCTTCATTTGTCACGCCTTCATTTATCACGCCTCCATTTGTCACGCCTTCATTTATCACGCCTCCATTTATCACGCCTTCATTTATGTGCGGAAGTAAATAGTGCGGATCATTTGTCACGCCTTCATTTATCACGCCTCCATTTGTCACGCCTTCATTTATCACGCCTCCATTTATCACGCCTTCATTTATCACGCCTTCATTTATCACGCCTCCATTTATCACGCCTTCATTTATCACACCTTCATTTATCACACCTTCATTTATCACGCCTTCATTTGTCACCTAGCTGCAGAACGTCCAAGTTTCAATATCGATTGCTCTTAAATGTTTTGTGCAGTGAAGCCGTGCAGCTATGGGCAAGTGCTCCCAGTGAGGAAAATTTTCGGAGGGTACGAGGCAACAGAGGGTGAATTCCCTTGGACGGCCATGTTGCTGGTAGAAGGCCGTTTCCTGTGTGGTTGCGTCATTGTAGACACCACACACGCCATCACGGCGGCACACTGCTTTGACTAGTGAGTCACAAAATTGTATTAAATTTTTTTTTCAGTCACTTTGGCAGTTATTAATTTATGGTTCGCCTTGTTATGGGGGGTATGGTATTTGGATTCGGTAGTGAGCCTGTATCAACCTAGCATTCCAAAGCCAGTAATGTGGAAAATTCACAAATTTACAAACACACACCCTTAAAACCTCCCCACCCCCACCCTTTTTCCTCTGACTTTTATTTATTAAAAATAGTAGCATTAATGATAAGGCTTGAAAAAAAATGTTCCTGGTATTTCAAACCTGGATAGTTGAGGGTTCTGCTTATATATTTCTAAAACTCCTTTGATCATAATATAATATGATTTGAAAAGTGAAGTAAAAACAAACACTTTAAATGGATCTTCCTGTTTAAAAGCCATAGTTAGTCTTTGCACATTTTTATAAGCTGCATTCTTTGCCTTTTTTCAACACAAGATATTCATGGACCCATTTTAACTCTATAGCCACGTGCCGTCATCAAACTATGAAGTCTTCGCCGGTAGATACAGCTACGACTTGAGTATTCGGGAGGAAGGGGAACAACGCATTCCGGTGAAGAACTTCACGATACACGAGGCGTACAACGTCAGGGGCATAAGTAATCATCAGTAATGTATACATACAACGTCAGGGGTATAAGTAATCATCAGTAATGTATACATACAACTCAGGGGCATAAGTAATCATCAGTAATGTATACATACAACTCAGGGGCATAAGTAATCATCAGTAATGTATACATACAACGTCAGGGGCATAAGTAATCATCAGTAATGTATACATACAACGTCAGGAGCATCAGTAATCATCAGTAATGTATAAATACAACGTCAGGGGCATCAGTAATCATCAGTAATGTATAAATACAACGTCAGGGGCATCAGTAATCATCAGTAATGTATAAACACAACGTCAGGGGCATCATAAATGTTTACAAGCTGTAGTAGGCCGTCAGCACGGGTGAGCATGGGCAGTGGGCAATGGGCAGCCTATTGCCCGAGGGGTCGTATACGGCCCACTGAATTGTTTGACCTGGCCCAAAAGAACTTGTGATAACTGATTAAGGGTTAGGGTCTCGTAAAATGTAAAAATTGTGAAACGATTTTCAGTAAAAGGTTTAGAAAATGAAGAATTACAGCGTGCGATTGTCAAATCAAAAGTGTGTTTTTGTTTAATTCCACTGCTTATTGATTATTGTTGAACTGAACTTGTGATTAAGATGTTGATGTCCATCGCCAATGACGTATATCGAGACAAAGGCCCTATGTCAGCGTATTCTAAACTTGGGTTGTTCGGTGGGAAATTTTTCCCATTTGACCCCAGATAGCACCACCAGACAATTCCTAACATGGTACTTCTTTTTGTATCGTCCTGCTGCTCTTTTGACTACTGAGTTTGCCGAACACTGCTCTTGATGATCATGCGGCCCAGCAAAATCAAATCATTTCCATGCGGCCTCAAGTGTGATGAAAAAGGGCAGCACGCCCTCGGCCAACAGGCCATTTGTCTTACTAATTAACTAATATCTACGACGTCAGTCAATGACCTTGCACAATACTCGCGCTTCACCATTTCCCGTAATCACAGTTTAGACCCTGTCAGTTAACGTAAATATAAAAAATGTCACATTTTTATGTAAATATCATTCAGAATCCATTTCTTAACCTCTTTTAAACCACCATCAAATTAAGGAACCTTTTGGTTACAGAATTTCTTTCGATTAACAGGATTAGGGGCTATTATAACGCAGATAAGATAACAACTATTTGAATTTTTAGTTTTGCAATTCTATAGTTTATGTATCATTCAATTTTTTTGTTTAAAAAGCTAATTTTTACTAAAGAAGTATACTAATAATTGTTTTATTATTATTTCTAATTAGAAAATGAACGCGAAGTACCGCATGATATAAACGGAAAACTGTAATAGTTAAGTGATTAACTTTTTTCTGAATCTATCTCTTTAAGGTGACGATTTGGCAATGCTTATACTCGAGCGACCCCTGGTGGTGACGTCGTCTGTAACACCGGCCTGTTTGCCCCCCGCTGGTGACACACCAGAGAAGTACTGCACAGTTGCCGGTTGGGGTTTAACAAATTGTGAGCCTTCTAGAACATTTCTCCCCAAAAATCTAGTTTGGGCGGAGAGGTGGTGCCAGATTTTTTTAATAACCCTTATTTTGCTCAGAACTTTTCATAAAACATATAATCTGCAATCAGTCAATCCTATTGGACCATTAACTATTAGTATTAAATACAAGCCATAACAAGTCTCTCTTTTTTTTTTTTGGATGTTATCTTAGGGGTTATTCTTTATGTTATTTTTATTTTTATTATTTTTTTTTTTTTTTTGTTGTTGTTTTTTTTTTTTGGACCATTAACTATTAGTATTAAATACAAGCCATAACAAGTCTCTCTTTTTTTTTTTTGGATGTTATCTTAGGGGTTATTCTTTATGTTATTTTTATTTTTATTATTTTTTTTATTTTATTGTTGTTGTTTTTTTTTTTCAAAATAAAGTTCTATCACATATTCTTAATTAAGGGGTACGAAATAAATGTCTAATGAACAAAATCACGGAACAATTTTTAAAAAAAATAAATTTTGGTGTATTTTTTTTTAACCACAAAAATGTCTCGTTTTTTGTTCCTTCAAAACATGGTGTTAAACCCGGAGGCATTTAACTTCGTTTAAATTTTCTTGACACGTGTCGTGCGCCCGGTAACGAAGACCGGCACCGCTCTGTTCACTGCCACTTTGAGAATCACTGCTCTAAGATGTTTTGGTCGACAAAAGCGGCACGCGCCAAAACGTGGCTTTGCGCCTCTTAATCTATGGGTTACACGTGATTTCACGCGGGAGACTTAGCAAATAATAATGTATATATATTTTTTTAAATTTCCTTTTACTGAGCGCGTTTTTTTCTTCCGAAACGAAATAAAAGTGATTGGGCTACCGAAAAATAATAATAATAATAATAATAATAATAATTTCGATAAAACTAATCTGGAAAATGGAAATTAAAATTTTTAAAAGTCAAATATCATTGATTATCTTATAATGATAAATTACTGATGATATTCTCTAAAGTAAATTAAAAGAACATAAATTAGGCGTACTGTAAACAACTGAATAGAATGAGAATAATACACCCAGCTTCATTGAGCGTTCTATTTTTAAATATCTTTCACGCTCCTAACAAATTACTTTGATATATATATATATAAATTTGGTTTAATTTTCTGACAAAACTGACGTCTTATTCTGATTCTGATAAGCCACGTTGCTGCAACCAAGAACTGGAGTATAAGTAACGGTTTGGGAAACGATGAGGCTATCCTAACGCCTCCTAGTGGGCGCCAGGGCAGCCTTGAAACTCTCGATTGATGTCGAGTCCAGGGTGGCATTGCCAAGTTGGTTCCAAGCAATTATTGTTGGGGGGAAGAATGACTGTTGATATTGAACTGTGTTACCCCGAGGCACAGTAAAGCATTTATCATTGTTCCTCATGTAACTGCTCATGCAGTGGTCAGAGGTGAAGCCAGTGTTTATTGAGCGTTTGCCTCTGAATAAGCGACCTGACTTCTGCGGGGTGAGATACTTGTTGGCTGGAATGGCCGGCACCGGCCCCGTGACCACTTTATAGAGAAATGTTAGACGGAGCTTTTCTCGTCTGTCTTTGAGGGAGGGGATGTCAAATCTTTCTAAGGGGTCAGTGACGAGTGGTGGATTTGTAGTCACATGCGATGAAGCGCACTGCGTTCCGTTGTATTGGCTCCATTTTGTCCACGTCTGGCTTTAGGTATGGGTCCCAGCTTATCGCACCATATTCTAGTAGCGGGCGGACGAGTGCGAGATTGGCATTTAGCTTGCAGGATGTTGGGCAGTGGCGCAGATTTCTTCGAATGAAACCAAGTGTGGAGTTGGCTTTTTTTTTTTCAATTTTGTTTATATGGGGTGACCATTTTATATTATTCGAGAAGAGAATACCAAGGTATGGATTATTTACTACTTGTTGAAGAGTGTTCTCGTTTAGAGAGTACATATAGGTTGATGGTTCTTTTTTTCTTGAGATGCTCATTGTGTAGCATTTGGTTTCGTTAAATTCCATGCCCCATTTATCCGCCCATTTCATAAGGCACTTCAAATCTGCTTGGAGGTGGTTGTGGTCCTCGTAGCCCTTTATCTCTCGGTAGACAAGACAGTCATCTGCAAACAGCCTCACTTGAGATTTTACTGTATCAAGGAAGTCGTTTATACGACAGAGGAAGAGAAAGGGGCCCAGCACTGTACGCTGAGGAACTCCAGAGTCTGTATGGTCATATTTAAAGGCTTGATGTAAACTTCTTTTTTTTTCTTTTTATCAAGACCTTTCATTGAGTATGTTAATTCTCCACCTGGTTCAAACGGATTATCTCTTTTTTTTACGCGCTATTTTTTATTTTATTTTTGGCCAGAAGCTTCTTGCAAAAAAAAAAAAGGATGTTCTGGAAAAAAAAACTGACACATTTCTATCAAAATATCAGCATTTAAATATGGCGCTATAAACCACTAGCATAGAAACGGGGCGTGGTTTAGCTGATCAGCTGAGACGTCACTTCAATTTTCTATGTATATTGTTGGGGGGTGGCATTTGCGCCCGAATCCAGAGGTTTTCCCGTAAAAGATGACCAAAAAAAGTTTTGCCCCACCCGAGACATCCCTCTTCTTAGCTACGCCACTGCTCTCCACCCACTTATTTTTAGTTATAGCTCTTCCCCGAGATTTGCATCGAAACGGAGATTAACTAAACCATGCGTCTCTTTATTTGAACATAGCTCAAAAGCCTCCCGATGTCCTCATGAAGGTACGGCTGGAGACCTACAGCTACAAGTCATGTCTGGACGTGTTCAGCGGCACAGCTCAGCCGCCTGGTTTTCTGCCCAAGAATCTTAGTGACAAGAACATATGTGCGTCCAATGGGACGTTTGGGGGTCAGGATTCATGTCAGGTCAGATCAAAACACCGCTGTCCTCGTATCGTTTTTGTTAAGTACCGTTAGGGTTTTGAAAATTTAATATGTTTTAAGTTTCCTTGTGTTATTTATCGAATCCATCGTTCTTCTTGTATCTAAAAAAATGTATCGAATCCATCGTTCTTCTTGTGTTTAATAAATGTATCGAATCCATCGTTCTTCTTGTATTAATAAATGTATCGAATCCATCGTTCTTCTTGTATTTAATAAATGTATCGAATCCTTCGCTCGACTTGTTTAAGTATCGAAGGCATCATTCCGTTGTATTATGTTCAAACTCATTGTTCTGTTTTTAAGATAGTGAATTCATCGTTCTCCCTGTGTTATGAATCGAATTCTCCGTTCTCCTTTTGTTGGGTAAATGTATCGAATAGATGTTTATCCTTGTATTTAATAAATATATTGGATTAAGCGTTCTTCTTGTGTTAGGTATCGAACGCGTCATTGTCTTATAGTATTTTTCAGATAGATTTCTGTCCTTGTGTTATGAATCGAATTGTCCGTTCCCACTGTTGTGGGTGAATGTATCACATCCATCCCCCCTCCTTGTGTTGCAGGGTGACTCGGGCGGACCACTCGTGTGTATCAAGCAGACGACG